TAATAATATTTATTATAGTAAAGTTTTTATATAAAAAAGCTTTATAATAGAGTATAGTATATTTTATAGTTTTAAACTATATAATAATATTATTTTAAGGAAATAAAATATTTACTAAGTTATTACTTTATTAACTTAAAAGCTATTTATAGGATTTCTCTAGCCTATTAAAGAATATAATATTATTTAGTGTTTTTACTATATTTAGGATCTCTTTAGTTATAACTAATATATTAAAGCTAGTTTTATATACCTCCTCTACTTATAATAAAGCCTTTTTCTTTTTTAAACTTACTTTAGATCTATAATAATCTATTTATATTTTCTAGTTCTTATAAGTATAATTTAAACTATAGTTCTTAAGTTTAATAAGTTTAATAGTTATAGAAATAACTTTAGGGGTAATAGCTTATTAAATTAATACTTTAAGAATTTACTAAAAGAGCTTACTTTTATAGTTAAAAACGCTTTTAATCTTATCTCTATTTTTAAACTTAGCTTATATTACTATATCTAAGGATAACTATTTAATATTAAGTATCTAAATATCTTCTTAGCTATTAGTCCTCTAATCCTCTTTTATAATAAGATTTAAAGCTCTATTTATTCTTAATTCTAATAAGCTAGCTATTACGCTAAGTATAATAGTAGTAGCTTTTAGTTTCCCTCCTTTTTAGGAATATAGTAGAAGCTTTAATTTTTATTAAATATATCTAAGTTAGAGATAATATAGAGAAGAAGGGCTATAGACTAATTAGTAAAGAAACTAAGAGTATACTTTAGTAAGTATTAAGTAGTATAATAGTAAAAGTTACTATTAATCTATCTATTTATATAGCTAAGTTCTATTTTAGTTTAATAGATAAAAAGGCTATTAAAGATTAAGCTTTTTAAGGTCTTACTAAATAGGCTAATAAAGAAACTTATATTAGGTATATAGTAACTACTAATATATATATCCTCTATAATAATGCTTATAAACTATAGTTTTAAAGTAGTAATATCTATAAAACCTCTAATTATAATTAAAGTTAATATAACTTTACTTTAAAGTCTATTAAGGTTAATATAGTTTTTAGATATAATATTTATTATAGAATTAATATTAATAATTTCTAACTATTCTTCTACTAAGTAGTATTTAATTTAAATAGCTACTTAAAAGTAAGGTATAATAAAGTTATATACTATAACTATATACTTTCTACTTAAGTAAGGCTTAAACTTAGGTTAAGGTTACTAGGAGTTTTCTATAGCTAAGACCTTAATATTAGTTAGTCTAAAGCTTTATAGTGTTAATATATCTACTATATTTATATTAATATAATAACTTCCTCTAATAAGTTATAACTTCTCTATTAGTATATTAGTATTACTTTTTATAAACCTAAGATTACTATTCTTAAGCTATTATTAGTTAGTTCTATATATTTTATTTTATTACTTTATAAGTTCCCTAATACTCCCCTCTTAGTTTTTAACTTATATATAAGTATTAACTAAAGCTAAGTTAGTAGTAACTATATTACTACTATATATTTAGTCTTAATATTACTTTATATATATAGTTATATATTAGAACTTAAGCTATCTATATTTTAGCTAGTTATTTAAGAGAAACTATTTTAATAGAGTGATATTATTAGTTTACTTTTTACTATAAAAAGTTATAGCTTAAGAGTAAGCTTTTTCTAAGTTTTAAAAGAGAGTTATTTAGTATAGCTTTTTAGTCTCTTTATAGTAAGTAGGTTCTTATAATTAAAGTTATAAAGGGATTTATATAACTATCTTATTTTTAATTACTTCTTTAACTTAAGTATCTCCTATAGGTATAGCACCTTATTAAGTTAAGATTTAGTCTATAAAATAAGCTTTTTTTACTAAGGAGTTACTATATAAAGTATATTAAAAGTTATTATTCTTTATTCTAATAATAATATTAACCTCTATTAATTCTTTATTTCTTATATAGTTAATATTAACTATATAGCTATATATACTTAATATTAATATAATTAATAGTAGTTATTAATACTTATTATTTAGCTTCCTCTTATTCTCTCTAAGCTTTATTTATAGTAATTATAGTTTCTTAATAATAAATAAATAATTTTAAGCTAGATATTTGCTTTAAGTAGTATTTATTATAGAATTACTTTACTACTACTTCTAGCTAGAAGTATACTTTATTTTAGAGGATATAAGCTTAAATAGTTACTAAGTTAGGTATTAAGTTTTTCTATTTTTTATTAATAATACTATTTTAAATAATATTATAGTTAATATAAATACTAATATATTATCCTCTTAAGTAGTATACTACTTTAGTATTCTTTAACTTATCTATAATATTATATTTAGCTATATAGTATCTATTTATTTTATAGGAGTAATAACTCTTAATTCTAAATATATTATATTATATTTAGTTTATAGTAGTTAAACTTATAAATTAGCTAGCTTCTCTTTACTATCTATAACTTCTTTATACTATAGATATTTAGTTTATATCTATAATATAACTATTTTATACTAACTTAAACTACTAGCTAAGATTTATATTTAGTTTCTAAATATTAATTATAAATGCTTTTATTTTCTCTTTAATATCTATACTATTAAGAGATATTTAATATATTTATTCTTAAAAAATAATAACTTTATTAGAGTTTATTATTTTTAAGTTACTATATTATTACTAGATATAGGTAACTTATATAAGCTAGTTATTAAGCTTAATAAGATTAGTAATTAGGAGAGGAGTAGCTATTTTTATAGTTTTCTTTCTACTAATATATATATAAGAGTTCTCTCTAGCTACTTATTTAATAATTATATATTTAATACTTAGCTAAAACTTCTAGAGTAGGTTTTTAATATTATAAGAGAGAGCTTTTATAATAGCTTTAATAGCTCCTTTTAGTAAGTACTTATAAATAAAGTAAATAAGATTTTAGTTTTAATACTTTAAGAGTTCTTTTATAATAGCTTTATAGTATAAGCTTTTAATATAATTAAAGAGGGTTATAATATTAATAGTATTAGTTTTAAAGAGGGGGGGTTTATCTTTAATTACTTAGAGCTTTTTATTAAGATCTTAATAGAAGTTTTTATCTATAATATTATACTAATTAATAAAAATAGCTTTAATAGTTTCTTAATTATTAAAGTCTTTAATTAGTAATTTAACACTTTATTTTAAGTCTTTAAAATAATAGAAGTAGACCTTTATTAGCTTATCTTTATTAGTTTAATAAGCTTTATAAGACTAAGAATTATAAGTTTTAATAAAATCTATAATATTATTATTTATAAATATAGAAATATTCTTATTTTAAAAGGAATTTATTATAATTAGTATAGATTATTAGAGGTATAACTCTACTAATTATTTAATAATTCCTATTAATTAATCTATAGAAATATAATAAGTATTATTAATAAGAGCTATAAGCTATTATTAGATTTTATAAGTATTATTACTTAAAGTATAATAAAGATTAATACTAAAAGCTTATTCTTTACCTCTATTAATACTAATATAGAAGTAAGTATTATTAGTAGTATAATTAATCTCTATAAGGTTAATATTAATAGATTAAGTTTATAAACTAAAGAAACTATTAAGTAAGCTATCTTTAGAAATTAAAATTACTTTAGTTTAATCTTAGATATTCTTAAATATTTTAGTTTAGATATTAAATATATTAATAAACTTACTTTTAATAATAAGGTTATAAAGAGTTAAGATATCTTTATATAATATCTCTTTAGTTATTTTAAGCTATACTTTAGCTATAATAATTATTAATAATTAAAGTAGTAAAAATATAAGTTATTATTTTAAGTAGTTAAAAGTATTAATTTATTTAATCTTAAGTTTTATTATTACTTTTCTAAAAATATAATAAAGAGAAAAGAGAAAAGAGAAAAGAGTATAACTAAGTAAATAAGCGTTATACTTCTATTTATATTAGTTTTAAGCTTAATTAGCTATACTATCTTAAGTCTCTATAGTTAACTTTATATTCCTTTTTTTAAACCTCTATTAGTTAATTTATTAAAGGTTATATAGATTACTAATAGCTTTATAATAAATTTATCTTATTCTTTTATAATAAACTTATTAGTTCTTAAAGCTATCTTACTTAAATATTATAAAGCTTTATATTCTTATTAATTTAGAAGGTTTATTAAGTAGATCTAGTTTAGCTTTAATAGCTTATAATATTAAAGAATAATAAAAATAGAAATAAATAAAAATCTAATATTTCTTATTATATAAACTATAATATTTTTAAGGTCTTTTTTAAGGTTTTTTTATATCCCCTCTATTCTTATTAATAGAATTATATTTAGCTATTATATTTTTTTACTTATTAAGAATTAGGTCTATAAATAACTACTTAATTTCTATTAATATATTATATTTCTTAGTATTATCTATTTAGTAATAATAGTTATAGTTATTATATATATTACTTTAATCTATTTACTTAGTATAAAAGTAAGCTCTTTTTTAATACTTTATATAAATATCTAAAAGAAGAATAAATCTACTTTTAAGTATTATTAAAATAGTTATAAGCTAAATAGCTAAAAGCTATATAGTATAGTAATATATATATACTTAAAGGTATATAAAGCTACTTTAACTATATAATTCTATAGTTTTAAAGTTTATAATTTTAAAAAAAAAAGGAAAAAACTCTTTATGTTTTTTATAGATCTAAAATAAAAAGAATAAGATAAAAAGTTTAAAAATCTACTAAAAAATAAGTAAATTAAGCTTCTCCTCTCTATGAGGATAATAATATCTAAGCTAACTTCTCACCCCTTGAGGGGGGCTAGTAATCTAGCCTCTAAACGCTGAAAACGCCGAAAAATCCAGTGGGCCCACTAAACCCCATTCCAGTATAAAAGCCGAAACTTCTAAGACGTTCCCAAACTCCGTTGCGAACGAATCGAGGGGGCAGAAGATCGAACCAACGTCGTCAATCATGCCGAAAACAGAAGATCTCAGTACATCACAGGCCCTGTCTGACCTGATGAATGAGGAGCCCGCCCAACAACGCGGCACTTCCGAAGACGTTGCCATACCGATGGACTCTAGGCAGCCCAGCCTAACGAACCGAGTGTTGCGTCACATCACAACTTCGTCAAACACTACGCCAGGGCCGCCTCCTGAAGGGGGTCGCTGGGCATGGCTTTGCGGTGGGAATTTCCGACAGCTGCATAAACAACAAGCACTGACCTAAGATGTAGTACTTGGGACGCACTTGGTGGTGATGAACACCTGGTAAATTGATCCATCTTGTAGCCTAAGGAAGCTAACAATCATAGGGGAGTTATCAACTCTTTTGGCGTCTTTCAAAGCCACTATGCTCAAACGCTGCGACGACCTCCTTCTGATATTTCTTGGATTGGATCAATCCAGATTTTCCTCCTTTTCTTCATCGGTAACTTCACGGGACGTCTCACTGATGCCGGGCTCTTTCGCCCAGTTGCTCTCGTAGGCTCTATCTTAGTTGTCCTTGGCAGCATAGCTACATCTTTTTCGACCCAATACTGGCAAATATTCTTATCTCAAGGAGTATGCGTCGGGCTTGGAAACGGCTGTCTCTTCTGCCCGACCATCGCTCTCGTCTCAACCTACTTCCAGAAACGGCGATCCTTGGCCATCGGCTTCACGGCATGTGGTAGCACGACAGGAGGTGTTCTCTTTCCCGCTATCGTGCGCCAGCTGCTCCCACTTGTAGGGTCTGGCTGGACGATGAGAGCAATTGGACTTGTACAGCTCGTGGCTCTGGCCATCGCCTTGCTATCCTTAAGAACTCGACTTCCGCCTCGCAGAACGGGGCAATTAGTTGAGTGGGATGCGTTCAAAAAAATTGGGGTACACGTTCTATGGCATAGGGATGTTTTTGGTAGGTGGACCTGTTGCCAAAGTCCCCGAAACCTTGCTAACGCAGAGTATCAGTGCTTTTGGGGCTCTTACTTCGCCTTCTTCTTCACTGCCGCCTACGCCAGAGATATCCTGGGTATGTCTTACACATCGTCGCTAGATGTCCTGATGATTATGAGCGGCGTTGGGATCGTCGGCCGGATTTTACCAAGCTATCTGGCAGACCGCATCGGGGCCCTGACAGTGCTCGTACCGACAGCCGGCGCTGGTGCTCTCATCATGTTCACTTGGCTTGCAGCGGACACAAAGGGTGCCTTCTACGCATGGGCTGCGATAAGCGGGATCATCTTGGGGGGCATCCAGGCGGTGTTTCCTTCCGCACTAGCCTCTTTGACAGCCGATCATAGTAAACAGGGCACAAGAATAGGCATGATCTTCACGATAGTCAGTTTCTCAGTCTTGTCAGGGCCTCCGATTGGGGGCGCGCTTGTATCTGCATTGGGTGGGCGGTACCTGGGAGGACAGGTATTTTCTGGGTGCTGTCTGACTCTGGGCACGGTCTTCTTGTTTGCGGCGAGGGAAGCTCAGCGAAGGAGCAAGGGCGGGCAGTTTTGGATGAAGGTGTGAGGATTTAAAGACTATATCCAAATAAACAGCAAGGCTCTCGCCATTCAATTGCGTACATGGCCTCTTGAGCCGCATCGTGGTCATCGGAAGGCGAACGCTCTACAAACTACAACGTTTTGCTCCGTTTCTTTCATGTGCCTTGCAGATGTAGAAGTTGCTTCTGATGATATAATGTTGAAGAGTTTTGCTATTAGGGCAGTGTTCGTTGGCTATCCGGGCAGTGTTTATATACGTATATAATCCGTAGCCTGTTTCTAAAGCGACTATTATATCTCGTATTCTCGCTTTCGTTGTTATTATTATCTATTATCGTCGTCTATCGTCGTCGTCGTCGTCGTCGTCGTCGTCGTCGTCGTCGTTGTTATCCTTATTATTATTTCTATCGTTCTCTCTATAATCACGGATTATAGGGGACACTACCCGGATAGCTAACGAACACTGCCCGACTAGCAAGACTCATGTTGAATAATACTCACGTTTTCCATCTAATAGCATCAATTTATTCAGCGCTTTCGGCGGCAGGCAAAATTCTTCATGGTGAGGATCGCCTTCTGGACGAGTTGGCTTGCTGACAAATTTGGCAAGCCGATCTCATGTACATGCACCCACCCCGCTCGAGCGGACTACTCCGTCAACTTCTCCGCTGGATCAGTCCGTTCTCAACTTACAAATTCGGTAATGCATCAGAAAGATTACTGATCCCGAGGCTCGACATTGGGTTCGGGTGTGAGACTAGAAGGAATATTCACCGGCATCTAAAGCACTCGCTCAGCCTGTCTGGTGACGAACAGCGCAACAAGAGAACATTATTGGCATTTGATACGCGATGAAGAGGGCTGTATGTCCGATAATCGGTGAGCCGCTTGATTTTCCCTGGCGTATTTTTGATTAAATTTTAGTGAGGTCTTTCTCTGGATCAAGGTCTATCTCGACCGGCTTGAGTTCCTTGTACATTGGGGCATTGCTCGACTCTGTTTGCTGACCAATTTGGAGTTGGAGGGCGGGGAGATGGCCGCCAACCCAGAGGATGCTGACAAATTTGGTCACACCACTATGCAGCACAGTCACACCGTAGGGCGTCTACGACACATGCTTCACCTTAGGATTTATGCGAGACACAATTGTAATTTGATTCAAAAGCTACACAGGGGGGAATACGGCGCATCTAAACAGTACGTGATTATTGCAGGCCAATGTTGCTTCTGTTTCATCAGCTGGCACAACGGCAAAGTACCTACCCTATCCACTGCTCGAATGTAGGCGGCCTAAATCACGCTTTGGACTGCTTGTTTCTGGACCCATTCTTCCGTCTTAAGGACCTCCTGGGCGAAGAGAGGCCAGATCAGCTCCGTCGCGGCATCGGTCAATTCCTTGGACCATCCGGCCGTGGCATCTTTCCTGCGGAAACATTAGTCTTTCCGTGCTCCGCTCATGCATGATTCGACATTCAAGAATACTTACAATAGAGTGACGTGATACCCCCTTGGCTTATTAGCTTAATTAAGTCCGACGGAGGGGAAAGCGGGACTCACAGTTCAAAGGATGACGCGCGGAGGCCTCCAGGCAGGTGTTTGCCGTCAGTCCCGCGAAAACCAGATGGGTGATCTCGCGTTGGCGGAGCTGAAAGTCCAGATCAGTGTTCGCGAAAGAGCTTCATGAGGTTTCTCGTTAGACGCTTGATTCATGTGCGATGCATAGGAAGACCCTACTCGCTATTCCAATGCCGACTGACAACGACGTCGCCCTTGGACGGATCCGGCTCAAGGCCCTGAAGGATCTCGGCGCCCCATGATCCTTCTTTGAAGACTTGCGAGTTCTTCTGTTTAACATGATTTGGTGTCATGTATTTCCATCCAAGAAAAGTGTGCTCGTTGCACTGTTGATGCATGCCGTAGTAAATCGGAATGCCCTTGGAGCGAGCAGCGGCTACGGCGGACCTAATGTTCTCAACCGTGCCCTTCTCTTGGAGGTCTAGGAGATGGGGCGTGAGAGCGCCTTCGGGGTGAAGAAAGTCATTGTAGGGGTCAACTAGAACGAGAGCAATGCGGGTGGAAGACATATTGTTTTCTTCTCAGTGAGTGCAAAAGACAGTTGTAAATTGTTGCGTAAAAAGCTGTTGCTTTCTATGTTGTGTTACAGAGAATTCAAGCTCTAATCCTCCTCGGGCTTTTATACTTGGACATTGTTCTTGGCTCCGTTCCTTTACCAATTTGTCATCCAGATACCCACGTCTTTAGCTGTCACCCCTAGTCCCGCAATGGAGTGATTAGTAGATGTTGGTGACTTCCTCGGCATACGCTCACTGGATTGACCAAATTTGTCATCAAGCCTCTCGACCGAGCCAAATGTGACACCCACTATCGATAAACGCATTATGTAAACTTCGATCCATTCATATTCGTTTTGAAGACTTACACTTGCCGACAAATTCACTTTTCTTGCTGTGTGGTGTGCTCGATAAGCTTTTGCAAGTGACTAGCACTTCGTGTCTGAGAAATTAGAATTGGTGCGGTTGAATTGCAGCGATGATTCCTCGACAGACGATGGGAACTTTCAATTGATCAGGAACGACGGATGTCGGGGCCCAAAACAGCCCCGTCTTAGCCTCCATCAACGCGCCCTTCTATCAGGACAATCAAGCTACTTCAAGCTAAAAAGGGTGGGCATGAGTCTATGATTCGGCTCACGTGGCTAATCTCATGCAACGCCACGCCGTGGCGACCATGATGCCCTTGAGACTCACATGATGATGCCCCCTAGGCCTGAGACAACGCGCCATCTAGTTGTAGTGTAAACAGAATGGGACCCACGAGAGTTTGCTCCATGTGCCAGAGAAGGTACTGATGTTGGGCTGTATCACAAAAGGCTGCGTTACTGCCATGACTACTACATGTGGGAATGTTAGGATTGCTGCGTACACAGCGGAACAAAGCTGAAGTTAAGTCCTCGGCAGCATTCCTATGTGTATTTAATGGGACGAAATGAATCGAGATGAGTTACACGGCTCGAATCAATTCACAGGGCACATGCAATGGAGAAGCTTGAGCTGAGCGCTACATCCAATGCACGAATAGATGTCCGCGATGGAAATGTTTCCAGCCCCTAGGATCAAATAGGTACGTCCGAGCTATACGTTGCCCTTGTCCCACCAAGCGTCTTCCAACCCCGGGCGGCATTTTCGCTGACGATGATACCGAGTGGAATTAACTTGTTGTTAGGACAGATATTAAAGAAAGAATTATCTGACATCATGTAATCACCTCCAAGGGTCCTCAACTTACATGTGCCTATTCCACCAGAGTTTGGATAAAGATCCTTGCCAAGTGTACCCTGCGACGTAATCATGTCCTTCACTTGTCCTCTTGAGGCTTCATTTTATGCAGCTTGTGAGCCAAGTCTTGGGCATATCCACACATGGTCATCGTAGGATTCCAACTGCCCGCGGTTGGAAAAAGGGCGGATCCAGTGACATGAACATTCTCAATCCCATGAGGACGATAGAGCTCATCCACAGAACCACCGATTTCCTTGGGTCCCATGAAACAAGTGCTTGACTCATGAACAATACCAGGGATTCTAATAGTGTCGACTGCTGGCTTCGTTTTAATCCACCCGTGAGTTTTCTCATCCCACCATTCAATGCTCGACTCGTGTTCATCGCCGCCCGACATCTCTTTAATAGTATCGTAGGTTGCCGTATCCATCACGTCCCAAGAGGCATAATCCTCGTCGCTCAAGGTGTATTGCAGGGTGACGTTGCAAGTCGGGTCAGTGCCTTTGTTGAGAGTGACATGGTTCTTAGTGTTCTTCTCGTTGAACTCCCCAAGGGCCGAGCAGACTAAAACAGCACCCATATTAGCTTCCGTCCTCTCTTGTAAAAGAAAGAACTTTCATACCAAACACAACGTAGTCCTCAGAGCCGGTCAGTTGATCGAGCGTCGCCGCAGCAGCATAATCTGGACATTCGCGAGCCGCGTCCTCTGCGTCGTCTTTCGGGTTGGGACTATTCAACGCCGTGACCGAAACGTGATACTGTAGGCCAGTCTTGGGATCCTTGCCAGCCAGGTACGCAGCAGCGATCTTGAGCGTGTCTTCCTTTTTCCAGCCCTTGACGTTCTTCACAGGGCATCTTGCTGAGATGTGTGTCACGTAATGGCCGGTCAGTCTCTTACCAACAGTGTCGCGGCAACTCTCGAAAGAGTTCAGCAGCATCGTTGCGTTGGGAATGGCGCCAGCGCAGAGGATGATCCTGGTCTTGTTACCAGTCCACGACAACGTACCCTTGCTGGTTTCGACAACGCGGACAAAGTTGTCGTCGTCGCCTTTGGCCATGCTTTTTACCGCACAGTCAACCACTATCTCCAAAGGCGCTCCCATGTTAGCTTTAGCCAGCTGCCTCTGTTGTTCCAAGATGCCGAGAAGAGGCCCAGGAACAGAAAACTTGTTGAATCGCAGACGGGAAGTTGGGCTGCGCTTTCCAACGGCAAGCGGGGCTGACTCGACATAGTCCGCGGTAGGAATCTTGCCAACCGAGTCTTTGAGAATGCTATCAATGGCAGTTTGTAGGCTTCCGAAGACGCTATCGTCGATCTGGTCTGCGGATGTGACATTTAAGAGCTCTTTGGCTTTTTTCCAGAATTCCTCTTGCTCAGCAGTCTTTTTCATAGTCTCGGGGAAATCGCGCATGAGGTCTAGCGTTGGTCTTGGGCTCCAAGCGGACCAGAATGTAGATCGGCCGCCGAAGAATGGGCAAGAGCCGTGGCAAAACTTGAGCTCCTTTGTTTCAAAGGTCTTGCGTGAGAGGGTCCAGGGGAATGTCTCAGAAGGCCCGCCCAGTACCATTTTGAAAGGAATTGGTAGGTTCTGAAAGTGAGACGGAAGCCAGAAGCCTGCGTCAAAATAAAGCATGAGACGATTGTACCACTATAACGGTATAAAGTAAATGCAAAAGATGGACCATACAGGGAATACTTGCCTCCGCGCTCCAAGCAAAGAATCTTGACACACGGGTCGAGTTCGAGGGCCTTCTGAATGAATGCAAGAGCAGTAAAGCCTGAACCGACAACGATGTAATCAAAGTCTCCATGGGACAGTATATTACCCCAAGTCCGGTCACTGAGAAAAATCAAGGTTAGAGCTGTGAAATAAATATTGCAAGATTGAAGTATTGATTGTGAATTCATACCTTGCGAAGTAGTCAAGGGCCATGACTGACGCAGGAGAGGGTCCCTGCACGCCCGGCACAGGGAATCCGTAGGTGTTGGCTGGCTGAGGCTGACGATCATTGTGATCTCTGCCAACGCGGCAGTGAAAGCTGGGAATCGTTTTCCCTGGGATGGTCAGGTAGTCTGGGAGGTTTTCGGTGTTCATTATGGAAGCAGGATCACACGTGGCCGTATACTGTGGAAGAGGGTAGAATGTTTGGCTTGATTTTCTGTAGTCTATCATTTGTGGTTTTGGCAGGACTGAGGCGTTCTATTAATATTTTCATGAAATGCGACACCTTCGTTCACTGACAGGAAAGAACATCTTGGAACGCAGCGGGGAGGTACACAGCAAGGTTGCCAACATCCTGTTTTTCTCAGCTTGCGAGCGAGTTGTGTTGCAGACGCAGCTGATACATCTAGTTTCGAGTCAGCTCATAAGCTGTATCATTCGTTTGCATCAGTGGCCTGATTGTATTGATACCGTCCACTGTTTTCAGCATTGCCGAGATGCTCGTGGGGAGCTGATAGATGTGATGAGGTTGACTAAATTGAAGGTTCCAATTAAGCTCTTACCCCGTACAGCCCCGGCTCAGCAGGTGCACTACGCCCGCCAAGCTCTCGGGTGAATCGAGGCGGCACGGCACGACGGACCGTGGCGAGTTGAAATGCCTGAGCCGAACTTTAAACCACGCGTATTAGGGCCTCGATCCCTAAAACGAAAATCTGGGGTTGGCGGATTTATCCTCGTGGTGCACCGCAATCCGTTCGTGGCTTGGGCCTCGACTAATGCCTCGACTAATGCCTCGACTCTTCTGAGCTTCAGCCTTCAACGCTTTCGTACCTGACCCCTGCCTCAGCTCGCCACTGGGCATCGGTTCGCCCAGGTCTGCCGCTTTCGATAGTCTCAGACTCAGCTGCAGCAGCTAAAACTCATCTTCTGGCAACTAATGGCCAATTGCTGTTCGCTTGGGGTGTCAAGCCACTGTCTCAACCACTACCAAGCCACCCTAACCCTGCACTGCCGAGTCGGGTAGACCAGCGCCTCTGCTGTGGCCGGTAGGTAGGTGTCTTAGTCCTGGCGATAGAACTTGGTGATTTGGCGCTTCTCTCCCATTGCCAATTCTTCTGGCAGAATGAGCCCTGGTGCCAGAAGCTATGCCATCTGCGGCCTGTTTCGGCCATTGGTTTTGAAAAGAACGTTGCGAAGCTTCGGCGCGAACTTCAAAAGACCGGATTCGGTAGCCAAACCACGACTAGAAGACGTTTGGCTTGACGAAAACGTGTTTCCCCACCAGCTCCCATGTTGCAGCCCTGGGCACTAAGTATGGGTCCTGTTTAGAAACATCACAATAGCTGAGCAGGATCAAGGCTGCGATGGGGCGAGTCACCGAGCGAGTATCGATGTACATACAACACACTTCTTATATATAGAGTCAAGTCGTCCTTCCTCAAGCTCGTATCCCGGACACCTTTAAAACACAAGAGATACAACGGCAACGGCACAAAAATAAACACAACAAACCCTCTAAACCGATGTGCATGGTCAAGCAGGCATGAAGTGGCACGCTCAACTTACGCTGGTGCTAGCCCAGATCTGCCTCGTGGCCGCCTCGTCTGACGTTCAGTGCTTTGGCAAGTCGGACGACTGCTCCTCCAACCCGATCCCGCTGCGGCGCTTCAACCCGCTAAACTACCACCCCGACACGTGCAACCTCAAGTGGAAGCATGGCTGCACCTCCCTAGACAAGCACGGCGGGCTGCAGCAGAAGCCTCCTCCCTTCTCGCTGTGCAACTCGTCGCGCCAACCGGCGGGGCAGCTGCGCATCGACGCCTACACCCTGTCGCTGCAAGACAACAATTTCGCCCCCGGCGCGGCCGAGTTCACGCTGCACGGCCTGTGGCCCGGGTCGGCGGGCGGCGACGGCCCAAAGAACCAGCCCTACGGTTGCCAGAATGGCGAGGAATTCGACGAGAGGATTCTCAAGACATTTGGCGGCCTGCTGAGCTACTTCTGGCCAACAAACGCAAGGTTCAACAACACGATGGAGTGCTTCATCATGTCCGAGTGGATGAAGCACGGCACCTGCGCGGTCATCCCCGGTGCCGACGGCACGGCGTTCCGGCTGCCGCAGGAGACCTACTTCCGCACGGCGTTTGTTCTGGCCAACGAGTTCAACGCGAACGCCGCGTTGCGCGAGCAGCTGCACCAGGACCAACCGCTCATCACCACACGTTGCGTGCAGTGCGCGTATCTGGCAACGGTGGGCTGGACAGGAGCGGACGCGGCGAATGTGCCGCGCATGTCGGGCGACTGCATCGACCAGTGTTTTGCATGCGGTGAGAACTGGGACAGATGCCCGCCGGCGCAGCTGGATAGCACCGTACAGCTGGACCCCAGCAACGCGCCGCTGAGCGAGAGTAGTGACAGAGGTAGCCGTGATACTGACGACAATGGGGATGAGAGCTTCCCACTGCTGAACTTTGCTGCTATGCCGGCTCCAATCATGAGTATGAGCAGCAGCGACAACACCTCCTCATCCCCCTGGGAAGGCACCTGGCGCTCGTTTGGCGCCGAGCAGCTCGGGTCCGGCAAGTTCGAGTTCGCGCAGACCTTCACCGATAATGTCCTCACCGTCACCACCGACAGTCCATACCCCCAGACATGCACCTACGAGCGGGGCGGCGGCGGCCCTGGAGAGCTGGTAATGCGATGCGGCGGCGCAAAGCCCCATCTGGAGGGCTGTCTTGCGCAGCGGCTGCCGGATATCGGCGGGCTCGAGGCGGCCTTCCTGGCGTGCAACCACACGGGGGAGCCAGCGCCGGCGAGCTTCTACGCCGCAATGGACACACCCGGGTGCGGCAACTTTCTGATGTTCCGTTGTAAGGCGTCGGCGGCGGCGGCCGGGGGCTGTTCATTCTCTCCGGATGCCATCTCGGCGTCGGCCGATAGTGGGGTATCCGAGCCCGAATCCGAGACCCACTCTGAGCCCGGCCCCGTGAGCCACTCCCAGCCCGGCATTGCCGGAGCACCCCCCGACCTGCTGGGCTTGTGGCGCTCACTCGAGGTATCGAGCCACTACCAAGAGGGCCTTGCGCAATGGAACTTTACTGCCGACGGCCAGGCTTCGCTGCAGTGGCCAAACCACCCCAGCCGCGGCGTGCAGCGCTACTCAGTGTCGCACTCCGACGAGAAGGAGGATGCCGGCTTGGTGCTCCTTGCCAATGCAAGCGGCACCATCACGACCTGTCGCTTTCAGTTTCAACACCATCCGGTGTACTCGTATGCCGTGCTTGACTGTGGAAACACGCAATGGGCCATGGGCCGTTGCAACCCGTGCAGCGCCCACTGTCGCTACTCATGCGGCCCTGAGAATGACTTCTGTGGTGCCGGCTCATCGTGCGATCCGGCCGAGTCGCAAGGAGTAGCAGGATCAACACTTGTTGAAGACGGTGGCCATGACTGGTGCACGCCTCAAGACTCCAGCTGCTGGCCTACCGAGACGGAAATCCGCAAGCTAGAGTGGGCGCTGGACCCCACCGTGTCCCGGCTCGGCGTCCAGCTGAACAGCTTCCCGCAGCCGCAGTCGGCCCCGGTCCCGACGGGCTCCGTTCACAATGAGTCCTTTTACGGTTTGGGCAACGCGCCCGAGGGCCTCCGGGCACTGTACTACTACGAGGACCTCGTCGAGATGCAGCGCCCATGCTTCATCCAGGCCGGCGGCCCTTCAGCGTGGAACGACGCGTCGGACATGTGCAAGGCGGCGCTGCGCCAAAACGAGTACCGCAACTGGAACCCCTTCATCGTCGTCTTCCCGCTCAACGAGCGCCACGTCGCCGCCGCCCTGAGATTCGCCGCGCGTCACCGTTTGTGTATCTCCACTGCTGGCACCGGCCACGAGTACAACAGCCGCAACGCATGCCCGACCGGCGGTATCCTCATCCGCACCATCCTGCTCAAGGACAAGGACTTCATGCCAACCTGGGGCGAGGACCCGACCCTGGCCCCCGCCGGCGCGTTCCGGTTCGGCGCCGGTTCTATCTTCGCTGAGATGCACGCCTTCTCCGCCGAGCACGACCGAGTCGTTGCGTCGGGCTGGTGCTCCACCGTCGGCATGGTCGGCTGGCATCTCGGCGGCGGCCACGGACCCTTCGCGCCGTCTATGGGCCTTGGCGTCGACAACCTGCTGGAAGTCGAGGTCCTGCAGCTCGGCCGCGACGCCCACGGCCAACCTGTCGTCCACAAGAAGACCGCCAGTCGCCGCCACAACCCGCAGCTCTTCTGGGCCATGCGCGGCGGCGGGGGCGGCGTCTGGGGCGTCGTCCTTTCCATGACGGTCCGCGCTCACGCCGTGCCCGATGGAGGCCTCAGCCGTGTTTTCATGTCCCAGACCGGCACCTTCTGCCCGGAGTCGGGGAGCAAGTTTGGCTACGAGTGGCTGCGCGACATGTGGACTCGCTTCGCTGCGTGGCAGCTGAGGCTCAACCACAAGGTCAGCACGCAGCCCGGCTTCTTTATAAACACCACCCAGTACAAGACGGGCGGCCTTTGCGCAGTCACTTGGACGTTCAGCTTTGAGTACTTCTACGCCGGCGGCCAGGCCGAAAAGGACTACGTCTTGTTCCGCGATGGCCTCCAGGACGTGCTGCAGACGGAGACGGAGGCCGTGCAGGAGCGCAACTTCAACTCGGCCTACGAGTACATCCTCTCCATGCCTGCTGACAAGTTCGCACTCACCCCAATGAACCCGCTGCCGGCACCGCATCCACCCTCCGACGCGGCCACTGGCTCCCAGAACTCCGTCTTCATCTCGCGGCACGCCATGGAGACGAAGTTCGCCTCGACAATGATGGACGTGCTGGACATCTGCGTTCAGTCCCTGGAGCACCCCGACCCGACGTCGCCGGACTCAATGAATCAACGCTGCGGCTTCCACTACCTCTACACGTCGCTGACGGGCAACCTGGGGAGCGCGCAGCCGGGCGACACAGCCATCTCGCCGGGCTTCCGCTCGGCGCTCATGCTGTGGAACGCGCGCACCTTGACGACGCAGCAGTCAGACGACACGGTGTACAGGCTCGGACCGAACAGCTACTTCTCCGAGAGCTCTTATGTGATGCATAACTGGACGTCGAGGTACTGGGGCCAGAAGACCTACGAGCAGT